ACTTTCAGTCCAGATACCGTGATAACGACCGGCCGTTCTATTCGGCCGAAGATGGTAGATCATGAGCTCAAATCCAGGTGGAGCTCAAGCGGCGACAACAGAAACTCAGAGACTTGTTTCCTAACTTCTGGTGGTGGGATTCGAGCTTGGTCACATATAAAAATAGCTGGATAATCGACTGTTCCATTTTGGCCATTTCTGCCATTTCTGTCCCTGAATACTACCCCGACGCCTGCAATGGTCCCAGTAACTGCTGCTATTTCTGTCCCGGGTGGTCTGTTGAGAATTACCGGTCTCTCTTTGATGTGCATAATCAAATGAGCTGAGTCTTTTTTGTAAAAAGAAAAAAGAAAGAAAGTTGGTGGCTATACCATTCAGCCACGTGGGCTTGGGTTTTCCTTTTGTGTGTGTGTGTGTGTTTTTGTTCCTTCTTTGTGGTTCTCCTTTTTTCCCATGGCTTTTTATTTGGTTTGTAACCCACACTGTATTGGTCCACCTTGGTAGTGCCATACACTCCACATACTACGACTACGATGACCCACCCAATGTTGTACCACCCAACCCACATAATGCTGGGCCACATTGTAACACCCAGTCCACATAGTATGATGGCCCCCCCCCTCCCTCCCCTCCTCCCTCCCCAAGTAGTGCTCTTGCATCCTCTCAGTATCACCCACACAACAGAATACACCCCTGCCCACATGGTACTGCCCTGCCCAGTCCACATGGTGTGGCCCACCCCAGATATTACCGCCAACCCACATCTGACATACTATCACCCAACCAACATCCCACATAGTACTGCCCCGGTCATGCAGTATGACGCACTCCATGTGGTACCACCCAGGTCACATAATACCTCTCAGCACGCACAGCACCCACTTGTTGTGGCAAGGACCGAATTGTGCCCGATGTTGGCAATGGCTCTCCCCCCCCCCTCCCCTCCCCTCCCCTCTTGCTTCCTTTCGCAGCCATCTCTGTTTTCTCTTTTCTTTTTCCTGTCCAAATATCGGTGCGAGTAGCAGGCAATCCATATAGTGTGGCCCGCCCCACATTGTGCCCCCCCATCCATTAGCGCACCATGAAATAACATACACAGGTCGTATAACATAGCCGTGCCAAGGCCGGAACCAGTACGTTTCCCAGCCAAACAATAAATATGCAGCTTGCATGCAGCTAAAGCTTCCAGAGGTCGAAATGGCGGGCGGTGCCAGCCAGAAGGGGGCCCGCAGCTGTTTGTTTTTCTTTGGCCCGCAGGGCATTTTCCACCCCGGAGAAAAGTGCCCTGGAAGCACTGGTGGTTTAAGCATGTGTTTTTTTCGGGGGGGGCTGTGTTGTCACGTCGTTATATACAAATTCCACACAAAAGAGCATGATTGTGGGCCCATTCGTTATACACATTTAAGCGTGTGTTTTTTTGTGTGGAATTCCACACACACAAAAAAAGCATGGTTGTGCCAGACTGTTTCATCGGAGTTTTCACCAGCTCATCAAGAGGTTGCGTGCGTGTTTCATGGCTGTGATGACCCACCCAACGCGGTACTGCCAGTCCCCATGTTACTGCCCAGCCCCCATAATATCACCCACTCACTACTCGTGATACCGCCCAGCCGACATAGTGCAATGTTCCAAATTTAACGAGGCCAAGTCCTCCTTTCTGGGTGGAGGTTGTGGGGGTGGCACAGCCTAGCCCCCACATAGCACCACACATATACCCCACATTACACCATCCGGTGCAAGTAGCATCACCCACGTATCATGAATTCTACCACATGAGCCGCACAGTACCATCCAGTCCATATACAATGGCCTACTCTCACACAATACTCTGCGGCCAGACCGCCCAGTCCACAAGGTACCACCCAACCCACGTAGTATCACCCTTCTTCCCATTCCCACTAAAGCAGCACGGTCAGTCCTCATGGTATCGCCCCACCTTGATACGTGGCAGCAGGTTATTCCTCGTCCGCTGGAAAGAGCCTTGTTTTGGCTCCGCTGCACTGATAGTTTAAACCGCCAGTACACGGCCCCAGCCTTGCTGAAAAAGAAACCCATAGCCCACGAAAATTTGGAGGCTCGGCCTACCGGACCACAATGGCTGGCGGCGCCAGTCAACAAAGAAAAAAAGTGCGCCGCGGGTGGTTCGTCAAGCCTTGGCGCGCACCAAGGAGCGTGCAGGACCTGGTGTACTGCCGGTTCACAGCACCAGTACAGTGGGGCCACTGGGCCCTAAATTGCCCACCCTAAATTTTTGGCACCTGAACGAGTCTATCCATCTAGTCCCCACCAGGCAAGGACGTCATCAAAAGCACTGCATCCTTTTGCACCACCAGCAGAATAAAATAAATTGAACAACGTGGCTTGTGATGTAATGTGTTACAGGAGTTCGGTTCTGCCGCCCTGACACCGAGCTGTGCTGTTCCATGGCGATGACTTCCTCAGCGTAATCTACTCGTCAAGGCATCAAATATAAGAGGGCGTGCTCACACTACGGCTTTGTCTACTAAGCCCTGACCGTGACTGAGGTCAGATTCATATACTAAAAAGGCCGTGATCGCGATCAGATGCATTTAGGAGCGTACTAGACTATAAGTATGCCGTAAGAAGTGCTTTGGAGAACACACTACAGCCTACCCAACCATTCCCTTCGCAGCCAGCCAGACTACTAGCGCAACGGTTCACAGGTATGCCAAACACTTTCAAACTTGCACACATCTTGAAGCGGTAGGCTCTTTCTTATATTATACACACCTCATCACAGGCTGATGATCCAATCAGAACCCTGCAGAGGGCACTTTCGCTTTTCGACACTGGCAGATCAGATCAGATCAGATCAGTCAGCAGCCACAAGGCACCTCTACACAACATGGGAATAATGAGATGGTGCACCACTGCGTGTACTGGACAATCCCCCAAACGTCAACCCCTCCCCAGACTACAGAAAAACAGCAAATCATGGTACGTTGCAGCAAACGCCTGTTGAGCGCACCCCCCCCCCCCCCCCCCCCCCAGGCCATGCAAGGGCAAAACTGTTGAGCCCACTACAGCCCGTGAAAGGGCGCACCCAGCAGTCCAGAACCCAGAAGCCAGTCTAAAACCAACCAACCAACCCTCAAAACCGTAAAGAAGGGACTCCCACAACGTAACTAACTTGACTTCACGGTCCCGCCCACACCTGTGATGGTTCAACAACAACAAAAATGCATATACCTGCGTTAAACCACCAGTACTTGGCCCAGCTATCAGCCACGAAAACAAAGTAGAGTAGAAACGTTTCTAGTCGGATGAATTTGGGTGCTCCTGTAGTGGCCCGTACGTTTCCTAAAATTATGGCGCGTTAACGGGCACGACTCTAGGAAGAAGTACTGGTGGTTTAACACAATTTTGCCAGGTTTCCCCCAATTCTTTGTGACGGCTTTCTCCATCCGAGACACCCAAACTTCGTAATAATGCTGAAAGAACTCCTTGTGTGTGCGTGGGTCAGTGCGTCCTTGTCTGCGCGAATGATTGGGGGTCTGTGGCTGACTGTTTCTTCACAGCTGGCAGGGACGACGGAAGATACGGTCCCCTCGCGGAGGAACGGTGCATTCCCCGGTGCATCCGTAAGCAGCCCCGATGGCGCACAAATGGATCCATCGCTGCCGAAAAAGCATCGGCAGGTGCAGGTGAGAGTGAGCATATAATGCCCCACAGCAGAGGACATCAGCGACGAGAATATACCTGTATGCCGTAAACGTTCCTTTAAATCCTTTTCCATTTTTGGTAATGTGTGAAACTCGCCGCATACCCACCAGTGTCACATTCAGGAATCCTTTCTTTTCTCGTGGCGATCGCTGCGCTCCAAGATCCAATACCATTCTCTCCTCAAGACTGTAGGCATGCTCTATCAGGGCATACTCACACTAGCACTTTCCAAAATGCATCAGACCCCAATTTCGGCCACGCCTGCATGCATCTGGCCGCAATTTCGTCCAGAATAAGTGAAAAAGTCCTAGTGTAAGCATGCTCTATCAGTATAGCAAGACAAAGAGCCAGTAAACAAACGGCATTGCCACACCACTCTAGAAATGTGCAAAAAGTGAGAATGAACTTCCTGCTAGAACCTGACGAGATGCACCCGCCACATTTTTGTCTTTTTCTCATTTCCAGCGTCGGTGTGGCGAGGCCCAAAATCATTCCTGCGGACAAAACTTGGTTTTGAGGACTTTCCTTTTAAGGGTCGTCTTACCTTTTCCGGTAAAAACATTACACCTATGAATCAAATCGCCAGTACCTGTCGGTAGTACCACAGTTGCCTGCCATGCAGACATCCAAACAGTGGATACATCCGGCGGACAAGGCCATGCGGGCCCGCATGGGGCTTCAATCAGCTTGCCATTTGAAGCCCAGCCTGTGTAAACATATACCTGGCAGACGCATTTGCGATCCAAAAAGTGGATACGTCCGGTGGACAAGGCCATGCGGGCCCGCATGGGGCTTCAATCAGCTTGCCATTTGAAGCCCAGACTGTGTAAACATACCATGCAGACATCCAAACAGTGGATGCGCCCGGCAGACAAGACCGGCCCGCATGGGGCTTCAATCAGCTTGCCATTTGAAGCCCAGACTGTGTAAACAGTAAACATATACCTGGCAGACGCATTCGCCAAGTGCGCACTGGCCTGCAAGAACCGACGAATCAGGGAACCGCATGGCTTCAATGTTTGGCACATTTGTATGGACAACCAATTGGAGACCCTGACATAACCACAGGCATCAGGCGCTTGCAAAAACCGACGAATCAGGGAACCGAGGGACAAAAGAACAGACCAGACGGAAAAACGCCCGCCAGAATAGCCAAAAAGAATCCAAAATAAGGAACGAAACCAAAGGATCAACAGAAGAGAGTACACCGCCCCCCAGAGATACACGCCATAATTCCCAAAATATATTAGAAAATATTAAAATAATGAACCAAACCAAGAAATCAACAAAGAAAAGTACACCGCACCGCACACCGAGAGACTTTTGGCATTTCACCTTCGCATGGAAAGTTGGGGAGCGCCCTGATAGTATGTTCATCCTTGGTGTACAGTCACAAATTGATATCGCCATTAACACAAGAAGAAGCAGCACACAAATGGCACCCTGCATCAAGAGGAGCCTGTTGCGTGTGCAAGCAATCAAAATGCACATGAAGGATAAAAATGCAAAAAGGATAAGAGCTGTTTACAAAAGAATTTGAATGGTCACTACAGTTTCACTTTCGAAAACCAAATGTCATATTTTACAGCTGAGCGCACGTGCTGCCAGATCGCGCCGCGCTTCAGTTATGAGAATGGAGCTGAGGACAGACGTAGACGAGAAGGAGAACCGTATGCCCATAATGCCCCATACGGTATATCCTACTCCGGACAATATTTCATAAAAGTTCCCTCCCACTTTCACTTCTTCCCGCCCAGACTCATCTCCTTGGTCACACCTGCAACACACTAGACCACATCTCTAATCCATCTCCATGTTCCAAAATGGATCTCTCTCTCTCTCTCTCTCTCTCTCTCTCTCACACACACACACACACACACACACACACACACACACACACACACAAAATGTGATATTCACAGACTGCACAAGCTTCTACAGCTGTTGAGGGTTCAATCAACCAAAGAGCAAAGCTTGGACAACAAGCGGCCACCCTCTGTCTGCGTCTCCAGGAATATGACAACAGCATCCCCATTCACACCTCCTCCAATTGGATGGGAGCCAGGTTTCTCCTCCCAAATTACCTTTTTTCCCCTAAACTACCACAAGAGTGTCTAATCAGCAGCCAACGCCACACCGCTTCACAACGCCTTACACTCCGCCGATGTCGTCACACCAACGAATGTGAACCAGTGGTGAGAAAGCCCTGCAGGCCACTCGTCACACCACACATCCTCTTCATGAGAAACTTTCTATTAATAGGGTGTGTTCCTAAGTTGGAAATACGCCCTCTAACACTGCAAACACTCCTCCGAGGTTTTTTCAAGTCATTACCTCACATCACTGTAGATATATATACATACTCCTCCGAGCACATGCACAGGAGGTAGATTCCACTGCAGACAGCTTCCCCTAAGGAGATCAACAACACTCTACTTGCATCGCGGCGGCTGATCATTACAAGCCATAATGCCAGCACTGCAAACCTTTCATCTCACCGGAGAAACTTCACTGCATTGTGGGAGAAAGTTCACTTCTTTAGCTGAGAACACTTTCATGTCCTCCACGTACGTCCAACTCACCCAATTACCGTCACATGCATGCACCTTTCCCAGAAGCTTTTGGCCACCACCATACACTGCAAAGACTCCTGCGTACAGTGTTGCCGGCAGCAGCATTTTTTTTTATTATGACCCATCCCCACCCCCACCACAAACCACCTCTACCTCCACGGCTCTTTTTTCCATGGCGGATTTATGCTGCGTTCAAGACAAACCAGGTCGCCGCTCGTTCTTTTTCTCTTTGGCCAGCAACGTCAGCCAAAGAGGGCCCAACGGCTGAGCACCCGAAGAATGCGGATGTCAACCAATTCCTCACAAAAGATTGCCTATGAAAGGTCAGTGGCAGTTTAAGAGAAGGACACGCCACTTTCTTCATTGTCACGCGTCAGCCTGAAACGTGGAATTCAGAGCAGAGCAGAGTCATACCTTTTGGAAGACTGTGCACTGAGTGCTCGACATGGTTCCTCGGCCCTTTGCCCGTCCAAACAATCACGACGGTACAGCATCCCAATCAGTCTTCCATTTCTTTGCTTTCTACTTGAACAGCACCCAAAGAAAAGGGTGGGGGGAAAGGAGGGGGGGGAGGGCAGAAGACTAGTCCCACAGCACCCTAGACTAGTCCCACAGCACCCTTTTTCCAAGGGATTAAAGCTCGCATTCTCTTTCCCCAGTGGATCAAAGGAGCAGCACTGAGTGAGTACGTCGATTGGCGGCAGCCATTGACAACTGCCCTGTCTGCTGCTGCAGTAATTCACAGAGGAAGCACAGAAATGAGAGACCAGAATCACAGACAGACGATCGGAAAGATAATTATAAATTGCCAAAGTGGCCATCTTCTTTCCGTGTGGCACGTCGACTTGACCAGGTCTCTCTCAAGACATGCATGCAAGGTGGCTGCACGCTGCGCACGTACATGCAGCCCAAAGGGTCAACAAGCCTACTTACACCAAGGTATGTTTGGCCTTCTGGGTAAAAAATTGACATTCTCAATTGTTCACTTCCACGCAGGTGGATAACCTGCGACAACTGCCGGGCCATGCAGTTTCGGCACTTATTCCATCCATCGCTAACAATGTTTTAAGCTGTGCCCCATTTCGAATACCTGCTAGTCTACAGACCAAACGGCAGAAGCTTGATCCCAACAAGCAATAATTGCAATCGCTTACTTAAGAGCCCCACTTGCTGTATCTGTTAAGCAGCTGCTACGGTGGATTGCCGACCTTTTCTGAGCTTGCCGCTGCTGTGGCTGCTGCAGGAGTTTCTCCGCAGCAGCTTTGTCCATGGCTTCTCGTTTCTGCTGTCGTTTCGCACGTCTGCCAAGAGGTTCACCTCCCTTACCTTTCCCCTTACCTGTACCTCCTGAGGAGGAGGCAGCCCCATCTGCACCTGGTGAGGATGTGCTGTTGACGACACGGGCCTCTTTTCGTCCGCTCCGGACATACCCGGTCCCTCCCCACCGCCGATTCCCAAGCCGCACCGCCGGGACATAGTAGTCATCGTATCCATATCCATCATCTTCCAGTACCTCATCCTGATACGAGTACTGAAACTCTCTCAAATCTGTCTCCTCTGCTTCCTGCCGAACCACCTCATGCTTGAACCACTTCGCCCTCAACAAAAGGCAGACACTCTCCTCCACCATAGAATCACGAAGACTGTAGCCACATTGCCACACACACACAAGCAATCACGTCACGGAGTCAAGTCTCGTCCTTATCAGAGACACCTCCCACAAGGGATGTGCAAGGGCTATGGTTAGTAGCACAGCACAGAAAGAGGACATTTCAGAAAGGCCGGACACAAAGACAGCACGCACATGCAAGAGAAGGATCAGTCACAGAATCGTCACACACACGGATTGCTCTACATTGCAATATGTATAGTGAGCTGCAGCAAAAAATAACAGTAGATCGCATGCACCGATGCAAACACGATCGGATGGTGTATCACACAGGCATTGATTGCCTTCCAAGATATGGTATTTGCTGTGCTGAAATAACACCGCAAAACTTCTGAAAGTGTTAACCGATAAGAGAAGTGCAGACCAGAACATGACACCTGCCTTCCCTTGCAGAGGCTGACACTTGAACTCCATTGCGCTCAGCCTCGGAGCAGGGCCTCTTCTCCGTGATGCATGTCATCCATCAGATTCGCAACAATCAAACATGAACAGATCACAACTAAATGGTGCTTTGCTTGCACAGTGAGCAGTAGTGCATCCTAAACGGGGATGAGGGGAGATGACATTGGGGAGACGGAGATGCAGAAGGTGGGGCCAAGGAATGTGGACGTCGAGCCTTGCCACAGAAGGAGGGGAAGAGGGAGTCAGGGAGGAGCTTGGGGTCGTAACAGTATGTTGGGCTGATCTTATCTGAGGCCTTCAGCCACAGTATGCAGCCCAGATCCTGACCATAACCAATTTCTGTAGTGGGGGGGGGGGGGGAGGATTTGGTCGAATTTCCAGCAGGATACAGGCACATATAACCCAGACTTTGATTTCAAAGAAGAGAACCAAGTACACACAGCACTTACAACCTGACAGGACGCAATACAATAGTCCAGCCAGCAAATACAAACAAAGTACACAGCACCAACAACCTGACCGTAAGCAATACAATAATCAAGCCAGCAATGAATCGCCAACAATGGTGGAAGCCAGCAATGACTCGCCAACAATGGCCAGATGGTCCCCAAAGCAGGAGACACTATCTAGAACAGTCAGTGATTTTCTGTTCCAACAGGACGTGAAGTTCGGCAAAACCGATGAGCGTACACAGATTTCACACCACCTACCGTAGTCATTCCACCACATCACTCACTGCATGGTCAACAACATGTGGATGGCCTACCTTCCTCGAAGATCACGAAAAGTGTAAAGCGAATGAAAATGATTTCTGCACTGTGGACACCAGGGATCATCCTTGTATGTGGCCCAGCGAAGGATGCACTGAGCACTTCAGTATCGCAATCCAGGTGAATGCGCACCCCCATACCACCCCACCCCACCCCACCCCAGCCAAGGGATAGACACAACAACACAGATCAAGCGCACAAAAGTGAACACACGGCAATCAGTACCAATTAAGACCAAGTTTCATTAACACCAGTGATTGAGCATGTGAAAACAAGGCTGCTACGCTTTCACATGGCTGAGCGATTGAACGGTAAACAATACCAAACATCCGCTACCTTTTTTTTTTTCATCCATGGACTACGAGCTCCAATCCCATCCCCTATATGTTTAATTTATCAACCCCCCACTACGTTTCCCAGCTAGCTTTCCCACACGGCCATTAACCGGCCCATGTGCTTCGGGGGTTGGCCTACCAAACAGATAAGGCTGGTGGTGGACAGCAAAAAAAAGATCCGATTTCCTGATGAACATATCGACGAAGGTGGCGGCCCTTTGGTGTCCGTGATGAATATATCAACGAAGGTGGTAAGATACATTCCCGACCAACAGTGCTGACAAATGTGTCTTGCCACTTCACGTGGGGTGCTCGTAGTGCCACACCACTCACCAAATGCAAAACAGAGAAAATATATGACAGTGTAGCTTTCCATGTAATTGCGGAAGATTCATCCTCACTTTGCACACAATTGATCAGTGGTGTGGCAAGTCCCATACCAGCGATGATGTGCGTTGCCCTTGCACACATCGCCGACAGCACTGAGGTCACACTCACACAAGCACTCTCCTAACTGTCGACTGCAATTGCGCCCACGCCTGCACATACTGCCAATGGTGTGTTGTCTCAGCCTTGCAGGAGCCCCCATGTCGAAACACGCAAACGGATGATACCAAAGACAAAAACGTTTACAGAACCACAGGAAAAAAAAAAAAAAAAACCTATCAGGGCACAGGCTGCAGTCTGAACCAGGTTCACACCTGCCTGCCTTTCGAGCCTCCTGAAACGGTCGCATACCAGTACCACAGCAGTTTTTCAAGAAACTGCTACCGCTCAGGAGGCTCTCATTTTCACTAATACGTGCATGTAGCCTCCTCCGATCTGGTGGTCCCAAGTGCCTGAAGATGAATCCACTACTGCCTCGTCCGAACCAGCGGTTAAACCACCAGCAGTACTTCCTAAAGTCGTGTCCGTTAACAAGCCACAACGATTTTAAGAAACGTACGGGCCACTACAGGAGCGCCCAAATTCATCCAACTAGAAACGTTTCTACTCTATTTTTTTTCGGCGGCCGATAGCTGGGCCAAGTACTGGTGGTTTAAGGAGGCTGAAGATGTGAACGGCCGTAACGGCAAAAGAAGAAAAAACAACCACACCCCTCTCCCACCACCAACCACCATTTCCCTCAGGTCGATAATAATAACGTCGATCAAATAAATACCCCGGCGTTTGAACTCGTGAGTTAGCAATCGCCCATACATTCTCTCTTTCCCCGACCAACCCCTGGCCATTTCAATCTCTCTCTCTCTCTCTCTCTCTCTCTCTCGTATAGTTAGTTCACATGCACTCCCCGGATCTCCCTGCACATGCCTTTCCTTCTCCAAGTACTCGTAAAAACCGCGTGCTCGCATTCAGACGCTGAGGACAGATCTTTATATAAATACCCCCCGGACCCCCTCCCTCTCCCCCCTCCTCGCCCCGCACCTTGAATAGAAAAAAAAAAGAAAAGAAATATAACAACGATAATTAATTAACAAAGGAGCGGGGAAAGATGGAAGATGAGCTCACTCACCAGTAGACATGCTCACAGCCCTTGATCTGTGCGACTTCCTCCAAACGAATCTCTTCGAGGCAAATGCTGCAGACAGACGGATCATCCCCATTCGCAAATCCCCACGGCATAACGCCGCTCTCCTCATTTCTCTGCTCCTCCTTTCTACTGAGAGGCGAGTGGGCTGTACCACCAGAGACAACAGTTCCTGTTGTTCCCGCCGCAGACGGCCCATCCCACACAGCAGCACCCGCTGATCCATCCATATCCCCTCCCTGTTTCGAGTAAGAGAGCTGTTCTTTAATCTCCGGCGCCTGGCCACTTGTCAAATCTGGCTGCAGAGTCACTGCGAAAGCAGTGCCGTTATTATTAGCAGGTGCATCGAACGGGAGGGCCGTACACCCTTCCTCTTCATCTGCCTCCGCCTCCAAAATTCCTTTGCCAGTATTACGTGGTATCAGCCCGTCCAAGCACCTCGGATCTTCCACAACGTCATTCACCACCACTCCGTCTTCTGCCTCGATGGAGGTCTTATCAGACGCAGGAACTCCGATCAAAGAACTCTGCTGCAAGGAAGGAAACGCGAGTGAAAAAAAAATAGCACCGCAGGTTCAGAAAGGTGGGGGGGGGGGGATGGCAATTCCTGCGTGGTGGGAGGAATAGCCCCTCCACACGAGTCTTATGCAAGTCGAACAAAAATCGAATCATACTTGCATGCAAGAAAGATCAAAATGTGCGAGGTGCGACCTTCTTTTCATTTATCCCGAAACGCTCACTCCATGTCAATCACTCCAACAACACAACGATCCATTGCTCATCTCTATTATTAACCGAATGCCAAAAAAGATCCGATTGCATGTGTTCCACCGCACCTCCTCCATAGGTTACAGTCTCTACCATCACCGCACCTTCAAGGGCATGATGACCCCCCCGCCGTAATGTTTTCACTTTGAATTCCTGCTCTCTAGTGTGCATACTTGAAACTCTCAAGTGCCGCTGGGCCCAAATCGCAAGGTACCTCCCCGAGGTACCTACCTTGAGTTCAAGTGCCAGCGGAAGTGCCGCTGGGCCTAAATCGCACTTGAACTCAAGGTACCTCCCCGAGGTACCTACCTTGAGTTCAATCAGCAGGCGATTCTGGTCCAGGATTGATTGGTCAGCAAGCCGTGGAGTTCGGTTTCAAGTGCAGGGGCTGTTCAAGGGTTTTCTCAAGTGTACATGGAACTTAGTGTAAATTAATCACATTTCTCTTCTAGTGTGCACTTGAAACTCGAGTATTTTCAAGTGGCGTCGAAGAACGAGGCTCTTACTGTGAGTGTGCATGCTATAAAAAAAAAAAACACTTGCTTTTATTACAGCAGCCTGATTACTAAGGAGACCCGCCCTTTCTTCAGTTGGTCCGTTCGATTGATGATCCGACGGCCACCGTTCGACCGACGATCCGACGGCCACGATTCCTTTCTTTCCACATCTACATCCACCAACCTCTCAGCAGAATCACATGCACTCACCGACAACAGTCCGCCTAGCCATCCATCCTCGCATCCATCACTACCGTCTTCCCCCGAACATAACGCACCCTGAAAATGAACGTACACAAGGTATGTTTCCGGCCCGATAGGGTCAAAATGAGGGTGCGATGTGTTCGGGGGAAGACGGTAGGGGAATCTAAATACACATCCTATCCATCCACCTATACAGGATTTCAGGAGGTACTGCAGCGAGGAGGCCCTTAATCTGCCTACATGGAGGATTTCAGGAGGTGCCGCGACGAGGGGGCCCTTAATTTACTCCTGTATATCAGAATCATTCGCACTATTCTTTTTTCCCACCTACAAATCCACCAACCTTTCAGAAGAATTACATGATGCACTAATCGAGAACCTTCCATCCATCCATCCATCCATCCATCTATCACTAGATCAATCTCCACATGTCCTATATGCATATATATCGTCAAACAGAGCTGCCCGGTAGGCAGAGAGAGAGGGAAAAGAGGACAACAAACGAGAGGCTGTGACAAATTGTTTCGACGGAGTTTCACCGACTCATCAGGAGGATATACTATCGCACAACTCAAATAAAAAACTGTGTCAAATATAAAAGAGATCGCAGTTGACTTTATTTCCACCGAGTGGACATCAAGTAGAGAAACGGAAACGCCGATGTGTCGCGCAGAAGAACGGCCGGCTTTCTGCCACGTGCAAAGCTGTGTCGAGTATAAGAGACATCGCCGCATCTGGCTGGATTTCCGCCACGTGGAAGCAGAGAGAATTGGAGAGCCGATCTGTCCCGCGGACGCATGGGCGGATTTCCAATTGCCGACGTGAGGAGTAGAGGATCGACTCCACTCATGCCGTTGGCCAAGTGCCGACAAAAAAGAATATGACAACAGGAAAGAAATACAAGATACAAGGAGAAGAAAAAAAACATTAACACGATCCGATTGCAGTCTAGTCCCGCGAATAGAACGCCCAGTCATAATAGCTGTATTCGGTGCAAATTTCAGTCTAGATACCAGCGATAACGACCGCGCGTTCTATTCGGGTCCAGACGGGAGGCAAGGCAAATCAACGCCCACTCATTACAGCTGCATTTCTGGGGGCAAATTTCAGACGAGATACCAGTGATAACGACCGGGCATTCTATTCAAGTTAAGACGATAGGCAAGGAAAATAAACCACCCTTCAGCGAAAGAGGATTCGGAGGGGGAAGGGGGGGGGGGGGGGGGGGGGGGGGTGCGAGCTACCACAGAACATGATCCATTCATTTATCCATTCCGTTCATCCATCACCCATTTATCCATCAATATATCCAGAAACATTTCTTTTTTTTTTTCTTTTTTTTTTTTCGAGAAAGGAGAACGGCCACAGACGCCAAGTACCATCGTCGAACGAACTGGCCGGCTCCGGGTAGTTCAGGGCCGTTTTCCTCGTCTGATGGATGGCATCGGGATTTGAACGCAGGACTGTTTATCACACAGACCACCGGTGTACCATTCAGCCACACGGGCTTGGTTGGTCTAACGCACATTTCCTCACATCTCCCTGAGCATCAATCCATCTACACATCTATTTCGATATCTATCAATTTTATAATCTCCATTCACATCTCCTACCCGCATCCAAAAAAAAAAAAAAAAAATCCACGGAAAAGCGGTTAAGTGTCCAGCTCAGCGTGTCGCGAATCTGGAACTGGTGGGTGCACAACCACCGCAAACTGGGACCGGTTGTTGTCCCTTAACCGGTGGGATCATTGCCTCTTAACAGTATCACCGGTTAAGGGACAACAACAGACTGAAGAGGGCTCAACCTCCTGATGGGTTGTCGATGAAGCTCCGACTAAAGAAACAGTTCTCATCACAGCCCTCCCCCGCTTCTTGTCCTTTTTCACCCTCTTACCCCCTCCCTGCCTACTTACTGTCCACCGCGCGCTTCTCTGTGAGATTACATCCATACTGTCTTCATGTATGTGCATGCACATGTATATTGTATATATATACATGCATACATTTATCTGAAGCTTATATCCCATTTCCATACTATCAAAATACAAGTCTAAATTTTCGCTGAGCCTATCTATGCGTACCTTCCTCTAGGTACATTTTTTTCTCAAATGTACGTAGACATTTTTTTCTGCCAATAAAATAAACCCATCTCCTGAAAAACGGGATGGGGCAAACTCTGCGCAAAAAAAAAACAATAGAAAAAAAAAAAAAAAAAAAAAAAAAAAAAAAACTGTGGCCGTAGGATCGCCATCGTCAATCCAACGGATCAACTGTAAAACGACGCACCCCCCCTGGTAATACAGCAATAGGTTCATCGAAAGGTAGCAGTAGTTTAATAGCGCAGCGTGAAAGTGAGAGACTACCGTGCTCCACTGAATGGAACGTACGTACGGTCATTACGGCCGTATCTAGACTGAAAGTTGCCCCAAATACAGCTGTAATGACCGGGAGTTCTTTTCAGGTAAAGACGATAGTAATACACCTACACATCCTGCAGAGGCAGGGGTTATTTTGACACCTTGCACCCCGCTTTCTCCCCCCGCCCTCCCTGCGGGCCCCCCCTCTTCCCCTTTTCTCTCACTTTAAGTGCGCACAAGTGAGAGAGGAGAGGCAAGAGTGGACAAATTACTTATTATATCTCTGTAGATACATCTTCAACAGCTCCCC